AGCAGTGCAAGATGCTGCACAAGGGCACCACTTGCCTTGTGCCCAGGGGAACCACATACCTTGCATAGGCGGATGGCATTGTTGAAAGCCTGTGCCCTTGTGTAGAAGTGCACTGCCTGTTTTACCTCATCCTGGCTCTCATACTGCCGGGCAAGGTGGTAGGATGCAGCCCAGTCTCCAGTCTCGTTGGCTATTTCAGCAGCCTAGAAAGACCCAGAGCACTCAGGTCATATCTCTTATCCAACAGCTTCACTCCACTCTAACAGGCCTGCCCCCACAGGACGCAGTATCCTGTACTTTATTCTTAAAGGTTTATTTGTTTTATTTTGCACTGGTGTTTCGCCTGCATGTATCAGATCATCTGGAACTGGGGTTATGGGACACTTGTGAACTGCCATGTGGGTGCTGGGAATCAAACCCAGGTCCTCTGGAAGAGTGGCTAGTGATCTTAACTGCTGAGCCATCTCTCCAGTCCCACCTATTTTAAAAATATTTAATTTTTATGTGTATGTGTTTGTGCATATAAGTGCAGTTCCTGAGGAGAACAGAAGAAGGCACAAACAAAATCCTCTGGAGCTGGAATTAACAGGAGGTTGTGAGTTGTCCCACATGGATGCTGGGAACTCAATTCTGGAAAAGCAGTAAGCACTCAACTGCTGAGTTGTCTCTCCACCCCCTAAACTTTTTCCTTTTTTAAATTAAAATTGTACACACACACACACACACACACACACACACACACACACACACAGAGCGAGATGCAGGGGATACCCGTGCGCACCAGGCAAGGCCTCTACCTCCCCACCTGCTCTCACCTTCTGAATGTTGCCCTGAAAGCAGTGAATCCGGACCAGGGAGAAGTAGTCCTGTGCCAGCTCGTAATAGCGCAATGCAGTGTCCATCTCGGCCTGGCTCTCAAGGTACTGGGCCCACCACCTCCACAGGGTCCTGTGGGATAACCCTTGGGGCTCAGGGGCTCACTTCACTGGAAGTGACACTCTGCACCATTACTGCTCACAGGTGATGCATGAAACTGGAAGGGACAGATCTGGAGTCTGCTCCAGGACCAGTACTTGGGTCAGGTGGACTCACTCCCCACTCTGACATGGAACAACATCATGCCAGATCATGGCAAACCCACACAACTGGGAGGTGTTGTCCCACTGGGGACACTTACTTATCCTTCATCCTGTTGATGTAGAGCTCCAGTGATTGCAGGTCTTCTGAGAGCATCCTAGGTACCTCAAAGCGGTGGGTGTCTGACTTCTCGTAGCTGTGGAAGAAGGAGCTGTTCCATTTTGCTTCACAATCAGGGGCTACATCACAGAGTGCAGGTAGCAGCCTAAGAGCAGTCACCTGGCCTGCAGCCCTGGGACTGTGCACTGTTGTATGTTTGCTGTGTGGGCCAGAGTGTTAGCCATACCTCAGAGCTTGTCATGCAAATTCCAGATCAAGGACGTGACTCTAAGCACAGCTCACCCCAGCTTTGGTATGGGTTTCCCTGTGACTGTATCCCTGTGGTTCATTTTTTCCTCAGGGGTCCCCAAGTCGGGAATGAACCACATTGACTGACACTCAGAGGGGCAAACACTCTGTCCCACCACCACAGAGCCCAGGCTCCTGGATAGCTCCTTTGGAGGATCACATGGGGCTGTCCTGGGACAGATCTTCCTTTTAGAGCTGTCAGGGCCACCTAACTAAGGCAGCAACAGTCAGAGCCCATCCCTGCCCAAGTCCTACTCACTAACTGAGGGCCAGGCCACAGTCAGCACTGGCCTCCAGGTGCTTGGCATAGTTGTAGTAGGTGGTGCGCAGGTGGACACGGTCGTGGACCTCAGCCACCTCCACGGCTTTCTGCCACTGATCTGAGGCCTGGTAGAGCTTATTCAAGAGGTCGTAGCGCTTGCACTTCTTATACAGCTCTTCAGCCTCCTCCTGGGGGTGAAGAGAGATGACGCCTCAGTTACAGTGTGATGTTTTAGAAAGGATGATGGTCGCAAGGGACTGTCACAGTGTCACAGAATAGGACAACAGCTGCCCCTACAGGCTTATGACAAGGATGCCCAGCATGCCTTGAGAACACACACTTGAGATGTGCATGGACACCATGCACAGGGCTGGCCCAGGCAAGACAGGCAACATGTGTCCAGGTGACTTTCCAGTCACCACTTAGACCTGCATATTGCTGAGGGAATGCTTAACCTTGCTGCAGCCCAGCTATCCTCTGGTGGGGTCCTGCAGAGCTTCTGTGCTCCCCTACAAATAGGGAAGTCCTCTGCCATGCAACATATGTGTGGGTGGGTTGCCTGCACTCCACAATCCCTTGCTCAGAGGTCTGTCCCTTGTATCCACATGTACACCAAGTGAAGGTTGCATCTGACTGTGGTGAATGTGTCAGTATCTTTGGGCTGAAAGCAGGAGGAGGTAGCTCTAGCAGAGACCACAGGCCTTAGGAAACTAACCTGATGGTTTAGGATATTTTGAGGGACTTCTGTTCGTAGGTGGAAACCTGCCAGAAACACCTTCTGTTTCCCTTCTGCAGGCCCCAGGCCTTAAGAGACCAGCAGCCAGACTGCCCGTCCACCTGCCAGCCCCTTCCTAGGCCCTTATTACTAGGCTTTACCCGAGGAGGGTCTTTGGTTAGCAACCTCTGCTCTTTTTATTGCAGGCTCAGCTTGGCAATGGCAACCACCTTCCTCTCTGCCCCCATGTGATGTCTGTCTGAGACTGGGACCACTCACCAGCATGCCCAGCTGTATGGCCAGCATGGCTACTCTGGCTTCCAGTTCTGGCTCTCGCTCAGCTTCCCGCAGTGCTCGGGCTCCACGGGCATGGCCCATGTTCCCTAGGCACACCTTGGCGACATCCAGCCTCTGAGTCTTCACACACATGCGTGCCATGTTCTCCCAAACAGTCTCACTGTAGTTAGAAGATAGAAGGCCCTGTCAGCTTCCAACCCAGAGCTCAGGGTACCCACCAGCCCCTTCTCAGCATCTGACAGTGCATATAACCACCAAGAAGGGTGTCCTACATGGCACTGTATGCAGACTACACAGTAAACTGAAGACTAAGCATCACATTCCCATTACTCAAAAGGAAGGAAGTAGTGAATTATCCTGAGTCTCCCCTTGGCACATCTCACATGGCGTCCCTGATCTTGAAAGCCTTTGGGGATGACAAAAGGGACAGGTGGTCTTTACTAACTACTTCCTGTGCTACTTTGTCTGCTCATCAGACAATGGCTTTTCCTAATTGTGAGTACACATTGAGTCAGGTCAAAGACAGAACCTCTTGCTCACAACTGAGCAATGGACTTCACACGGAGCTTTCCTAAACTAGTTCCAGTGCTAGGGACCCTACGGAAAGAAGGGGCCATGATGGCCTTACATCGCTTCACCCAGGCAGTCAGAAATCAGTGTTTGGAAAGGTGGGTGGAGTCCACAACCCCAACTCAATCTAGGGGCCTGGAGCAGGGCCAGCCCCTGATGTGTGGCTGGACAGTGGACCCTTCCTTGTCCCTCATTTTGAGGCAGTCCACTGTGAGCCTGGACCTCCTCAGACAGCCTCTGCCTGAGACACAGAAGCTGAACAGAGAGATGGAAAAGGGAATCAGCTTACCCTCCACAGTCCCCTCTGCTTAGGCTAACCTGGAATAGGTTCTTCCTACTCTAAGACCACAGCAGTGATACCTACACATGGCCTCAGGGGACATGCTGACAGGAGCATCCATTTAGAAGCATTTACCTCAGCACTTCTCATCACATTCCAGTGGCTCCCCTTCCCCAGATAAAGCCTGGCCAGAGGGGCATCCTCCTTCCAGAAAGTGGAGCAGGTTTGTCTTTTCCCAGCCTCATAGACTTGGCAGAACTAAAGAACTTGGAAGGCAGCTGTCCATACAAGGTTGGCTGTATGTTCTGGGGAGTGGGGCCTGGAATGCAATTGTCCTGAACATTTTCCTAGTGATTTGTCCAGGAAGAAGGATGGGTAAGAGGACTCTCGATCTGTTGGGCCAAGTCCTTCTGTGGGCAGTTAGATGATCCGTGGATGACCCACATCTTAGATTCCCAGTTTTGAACAGAAGTGGAAGGAAAATACTAAATAAGTCAGCTCAATCATTGGCTGGGGTGGGGGTAGCCACTGCTGTGCCTATGGTTGAAAATTTCCACAGCCAGGTGTCCTTCATGCCAGGATATTCTGTCCATAGGTTATTCTGACCTGTCAGGGTCCTGCTAGAACTCTGACTGATTCCATAGGTATATGTATCAAGTAACAGGAGGGCAAGCATATCTACATTTTAGCAGCAATACCTCTGGTGACTACTGCTTGTAGTGTGTGTGAAGCCTGACCAGAGTTACATGGCAGCTACACAGGGTCAACATGGGGGAGCTGTGCTAGGAGAGAGGTAAGTGTGTATGCATAAATCCCACCCCAATCCCAGTCGCTGTGGAGGGCTTTAGCCCTCCCCTACTCCATGCTCCTCAAGCTCAACCCTTCACAGTCTCTCCTGGGGCTTCTCATGCTCTGGTCTGCAATTTCCAGAACATACAGGAGCTGGTGACACATGAGAGAGGCTGAGGACCTCAGAGGTGTCAGCCATTGGGCAGCACCTTGCTGAGTTATTTTTTCCAGCAAGTGGACTCACTGTCCTCATGCTTTTGGAAATCAAATGACTCATGGTAGCCCTGAGGCAGCATATATGGCAAACCTGCTCAGTGCCACATGGCCCTGGCCAGGGCAGCATCCCGACAGGAACTGCTATGGCTGGGTACACATCCATGTCAGAGGCTGGGTATCTGGGGTCTCAAGCAGTAAGTCCCACTCTTTAAAGACTATTTCTTCTTTCTTTCTTTTTTTTTTTTTTTTTTTTTTTTTTTTTTTTTTTTTTTTTTTTTATTATGTATACAGTGTTCTGTCTGCATATGTCCCTGCAGGCCAGAAGAGGGCACCAGATCTCCTCACGGATGGTTGTGAGTCATCATGTGGTTGCTGGGAATTGAACTCAGGACCCCTGGAAGAGCAGCCAGTGCTCTTAACCTCTGAGCCATCCCTCCAGACCTCCGTAAGTCCCACTTTTTAAGTTTAAACTCCCTACTATCCTTTGGTGTGGTCTCTCACAGGGAGCTCGGAGCCTCAGGTCAGATCCTGTGTGATGTCTGCCAACTCTGTACAGACACGTTCTCTAAGTCAATGCTGTTCCTAGAAATGTCATGCAGTGCTAAGTCAGGAATCCCAAAGGAAATGCTTAGTTCTCCCAGCACAACTCCAGTGGGCTACATAGAACTTTCAGAATAGACAGGGTCTGCCAGTACCCTCCTGAGCTTGCTGGGCTAGCTGAGTGTGTGACGCATGGGCTGCTGAGGCTACAGCAAGATAGTGGTTAGACATGAGGCTCATTAAAAAAATCATATTATTCTTGCTAGTTTACATGATTAGACGCTTAAAAAATGTTTGCAAAGCTGGATATAGTGGCACACGCCTTTGATCCCAGAAGCAGGAGGATTTGTAAGTTTGAGGCCAGCCTGGTCTACACAGTGAGTTTCAGGATAGTCAGGGTTACATGGTGAGAACATGTCTCAAGAAAATAAAACCAAAAGAACAGTTTGCTTTCACTGCCTCCTAAGGCCTGGGTGTGGGGACTAGATGGGAGTGGGGTCATGGCCTTTTGGCTGCCTCTGCTTCCCTGGGTAGCCCCTCTTCTTCTGCACTGTCTAGAAAGCAATGGCTGTATCCATATCCAGTGTTGGGAAAATAACTAAGTAAGTGTAGTCACTGGCCTGTGGACAAAGCTGACTGGTGTGTGCCCTGGGTTTTATCTTTTCCCACCAGGAGGGTCTGCTCCAGGCAAGTGTCTGTGCTGTGTGGGAGACAGGCTGGAGACTTGTCTCAGGATCACTGTGCTTCCCTGGCCCTGTACACGACAAAGATCTTTTCGCATCACTGAAATGTCTGGCTATTTCCACAAACTTCCTCCCTGACAATGAATCAAGCAGGAGATCTGAAGAGCTTGTGCTGGAGGCACAGCCCCCAGCCAGGCAGGGAGAATTTGGGAGGAGGGTCCCTTAAAGGCTAGCCCTCTCTTGCTGGGCTGAGGTTGCTGTGTACCAAACATGGGGAGGGCCAGACCTCAGCTGCTGCAAGAGCCTAGGCCCAAGAAATGGCTGCCGCCCTTTTCCACAAATGCAGTGTATTTTCCGTGGCTGTCTCTAGACCAGGACCATCTCAACTCCCACAAGATTCCTGACATTCTCTGCATGCAGCTCCCGGACGGCTTCACTCTCCAAGGATGGGACAACTCCAACTCCAGGGCAGAGTTCTGGGATTTGTGCATCTGGCATAAATTCCAAGAAGTAAACACCCTCCCGGCCCTGTCCAAGTCTTGAGGATTTCCTGTTGTCTGAGTTACTCTGTAGAAAGGGTTCACATCTGCACTTCATCAGCTTACAGGCGCCTGGATGAGAAGCAGATGTGGTCACAGAGGGGGCTCTGCCACGGGCCTAGTTTCTGGGAGGACTTATGCTCTGCTGGACATGTACTGAGTGAACAATTAGGGAACCAGAAGGCAGATCTACACTTGTGATGTTCCCTACTTTGTGAGTGTGTGTATATGCGCGTGTGCACACACAGTAACCGTGCAAGGAGTGAGAGGCTGATGAGCATGTAACTACAGTAACAATCTTCCAGCTAAGTTTGGGGTCCTCTGGGTTGGAGAATTCTTACCAGCCACACAGGATCCTAAAATCCTCTGAGGACAGCGAATATCAAGACAGGGCCCTCCTGACTCCACCTCTCCCCTGCCTACCCTCCCACAAAGACAGGCAGGCTTCCTTCTCACCCAGCTCAGGAAAGGAAAAACACAACTAGTCCAAGGGCCCCATCTGAGATGATCCGACACGTCCTTGAGGCCTTCAGTACCAGCTACAGAAGGTTGAGGTAGAAGGATCAGGTCAGTTTGGAACTCTTAAAACAGCTTCCTTGGCTTGAAACTTCATGTTTGGTTCTCACTGGAAATTAGCCATTTAATAAATACCTAAGATAACTGGCTTAATTAAGATTTTTTCTCTTTAGGCCGGGCGTTGATGGTGCATGCCTTCATGCCTTTAATCCCAGCACTCGGGAGGCAGGCGATCTCTGTGAGTTCGAAGCCAGCCTGGTCTACAGAGCGAGTGCCAGGATAGGCTCCAAAGCTACACAGGGAAACCCTGTCTCGAAAAACCAAAAAAAAAAAAAAAAAAAAAAAAAAAAAAAGACTTTTTTTTTTTCTTAATGGAAACTTGGGGAAATCTCCATTTCAAATACACCTGCTCTATTTTGTGTTTGGGAATGCTGTGTTGGAGATGTTGCACCCTAATTCTGCCTCTGGGGGGAGGCACATGCAGGAACAATGGCAGTTGTCCTACCTAAGTGTCTTCTGAGTCATAGTATGAGCTGACAGTAGATAGCACCCCACACTGCTTTCAAATTCCTCCTGCTTAGAATATAACCCACAGGCCTGGCAGTGGTGGTGCATGCCTTTAATCCCAGCTAATATTAGAGAGGCAAGGCAGGTGGATCTCTTTGAGTTCGAGGCCAGCCTGGTCTAGAGAGAGAGTTCCAGGACAGCTAGGGCTGTTATACAGAGAAACTCTGCCTCAAACAAACAAGAAAAAAGAAGGGAAGGAAGGAGAGAGAGAAGGAAGGAAGGAAGGAAGGAAGGAAGGAAGGAAGGAAGGAAGGAAGGGAAGAACATGACCCACAGAGAGGCTGGACCCAGGTACCTAGAATGACAAGTAAATCTCCTTCAGGCCCGGGCCAAGGAGAATGGAAAATATAAATAAGCCATATTGATACTGGCTTCAAACGAGGGAGAAAGTCATAAAACCCCTCAGAGAATTGAAAAGACATTCTCAGGACTGATGATGGGAATGTAAACTTATGGAGTGCCAGGAGCCTGACTATATACACAAACGAGGGATTGAAGGCAGCAATATTTGGAAGTAGGGGGTGGCCTATTGTGTCAGAGCATCAAGTCAGGAAGAGACTGTACTGTTACAACTTGGGGCACTAGTCAGCACCAGATTTCTTGTGTCCAAATACTGTCCTGGGAGTGTGTGCTAGAGGATGGGTTAGGCAGCTGACAGCACCTACATTCTTATGTTCATTTATATAGCTCTAGAACCCTGGTGGGTGGATCCCTGTTATGGGAGGGTCAGGGTCTCTGCAGGTGAGGCACAAAGTCTCAGACCTTTTATTCACCAGAGCTGAAGGGTTATAAGGAGAACAAATGGAGCCAGGCGGTGGTGGCGCACGCCTTTAATCCCAGCACTGGGGAGGCAGAGGCAGGCAGACAGATCTCTGGGAGTTTGAGACCAGCCTGTTCTACAAGAGTTGGTTCCAGGACAGCCTCCAAAGCCACAGAGAAACCCTAGGGGATCGACTGCCATGTTAGTAAGCAGACCTGGCTAGTCAGAAACCACATTGGCTATCCCAGCCTGCACAACGCTCCAGGCTCCCTCCCAGAATTCCATCTCTTCTTGCCACCACAAGAACAACCCAGGCAGAGATTCCTCAAGTAGGGACCTTTCCTATCAGGTCTGAGCACACTTGCTCCCTTGAGGTGCACGGTCTCTGCCCTCCCAGAACCTGAATCCCCATTCAAAGATAGAATCCCAGCTGGGCGGTGGTGGCACACACCTTTAATCTTAGCACTCAGATCTCTGTGCGTTCGAGGCCGGCCTGGTTTACAGAGTGAGTTCTAGGACAGCCACGGCTACATGGAGAAACCCTGTCTTGAAAAACAAACAAAAAAGTAGAACCACTGTGGAGAGGGGAAGACTTTAGAGCAGTGGTTCTCAACCTTCCTAATGCTGCGACCCTTTAATACAGTTCCTCGTGTTGTGGTGACCCCCCAACCATAAAATTATGTTGTTGCTATTTCATAACTGTAACTTTGCTACTGTTAGGAACTGTGATGTAAATATCTGTGTTTTTCCAGTGGTCTGAGGCCACCCTGTGAAAGGGTTCATTTGACCTTCTCAAAGGGGTTACGACCCATGGTTGAGAACCACTGCTGTAGTCACTGGGGACTCACAGCACCTACCATGAAGAGGGCAATGGATGGATGGACGGTTGGACACCTAGTCTCTTAGGATTCTGCCTGCCTACCTGTGTGTCCCTGGCATCCCCCGGCTCTGCACCTGGCACAGCTGCACAGCTGGCTAGGCCTGACGGCAACAGGTAAGAAGATGAGTGTCCTGGCTGGCATCCCTGACTACCCCTATGGGACAGGAAGGTGGGGAGGGGCAGCCAGGGGGTGGGCTGGAGCAGGCCATTCCCATTAGGAAGCGCATCCTGTTAGTGTCTGGCTCTGTGGCAGGGCTGCTATTTGTTGCAGTTGGCTACGCCCTCCTGCTCACCAAAAACAGCCTCAAAAACAACCATTTCCTCTCTGCTGAGAGACAGGGAAACGGGAGCTCACGCGCACGCAGGCGCGCGTATACACACACACACACACACACACACACACACACACACACACACACACACACACGCACACACATCCTTGTAGCACACATTCTGCTTTCCAGGACCTGCCATTTGTGGCAGAGGTACCAAGACAGGCTAAGCAGGAGAGAGGTGGCCAAACCCACACTGCTTCAACAACCCTGCTCTCTTCGGACTGGCTCCCACAGGCAGTTCTAAGGAGTGTGACCGGCTGATTCCCATGCTGTGCCTGCCTCCCGAGTTACTTTGTTTTCTACTGCTGTAGGCAAGAAGCACTGTGGATACAGCCTCCCTGGCCTCTGTTCCAAAGAAGACGGCCCACTTAACAACTCTGGATTCTCGCTGGTGTGGCCGGTGCCCCAGATTTCTCCCTGGAATGGGTCTTGGGGAAACCTTCTTCAGCACAGGCTTGTCCCTGCTCCAGGTTCAAGAGGGAGGATAAGGCAGGGCTGTGAGCAGCTCACTTGGACCTATCCCATGGGCTTCTCCCCATACCGCCAACATCCTCATGTGCCTGGCTGGAGCTGCTGCATAGCTTCCCAAGGATGAGTGGTGATGTTCTCTAGCTACACCTAGCAGCATCTCGGCTTTCTCTGGATGCACAGCAGCTGACCTGGACTTGGGACTTTCTCCGAGATAGACAGTACTGGCAGTCAGATATGACTGTCCAGAAACTTGTGGCCACAGCTGTGCTGGTGGCCCTTGTCTCCCTCATCCTCAACAATGCAGCAGCCTTTACCCCCAACTGGGTGTACCAGACGCTGGAGGATGGACGCAAGCGAAGTGTGGGGCTGTGGAGGTCCTGCTGGCTGGTGGACAGGGGTAAGGGAGGCACAAGCCCTGGGGCCCGAACTGGGCAGGTGGACACACATGACTGTGAGGTGCTAGGATGGGGCTCTGAGTCAGCAGGTTTCCAGGAGTCTCGAGGCACCGTCAAACGTAAGTCTCCTTATTTTTCTGTCACCTTCAGGTGGTTAGGGAGGGGAGGTTGTGCTCAGGATAGTGGTGGTGTCACGGAACCTGGGCCTCATGCCCACCCTGAAAAGCAATGCCACATAACATCCCTGATGGGCTTCTTTCACAGGAGTTCAATTCATGTGGCTGGAGGCTCTTTCTCTGCCACTATATGTGGCTGAAGGAAGAAAGATGGATGGGTATGCTGATCAAATCAAGACATTGTTCCTTGATTTAAAAGAAGGAGTTAAACGAGAAGTGTAAGAACATGTGAATGAGTTCCGTCTGCATGTCTCAGGTAGTCAGGGCCTTTAGGCCAGTGAAGGAGACTCTGGCTGGGATGTCTAGGAGACCAGGGGAAGCCCGTGGTAGCAAGGCACACAGTGTTACCTCCCCCACCCCAATGGTGGCCTTTTCCTTCTCCAGCTTTCTTGTCCTGGAGTCTATATACTACCCTGGGAGTGGGGACTTCACTTAAAATAGCACTCAAGGGTTGTATAAATATGAAGATACTATCTAAAAATAGGCATGTCTGTTAATATGCAAGTTCTCTCCAGATGACAACCACCCTAAAATTGACAAGGGGTCTCGACTACAAACTGCCATGGAGGCTACAGGTCAGACAGCTCTGTCAGAAGACAACATTGATCTTTAGAAAGCATGAGACTTAGGTGGGCATCCATGCCTCATTGTTATCAAGGGACTTTCTGGAAATCCTGAGTGCAATTTCTGGAAATGCCCAGTGCAACCACCTCAAGCCTGATCTTGACCAACGGTTGGTTTGCAAGCTAGGCCGGGGAACAGCACCCCCATCTCATAGGTAGAGGTACCTAGGCTTATAATGGGGGTAGGTCAGCCTTTTCCTTGAGGCCTTGACAGGCAGGGAGCCTTTTACTGAGAGAAAGATCAAAGCACATGAATGCACTCTCAGAATCTGGGTGTCTTGTGAGAGGCCAAACAGCTGGACTTGGGTCTTCATGTCATGTGTCTAGCTCTCCCTCTGCATTCCATGACCGTTCTGGCTAGGCAGGAAAGCTAGTAACCTTGAGGTTCCATCAAGCCTCTCATACAGGTCATGGCTTTGCCCAGGTCTCCTGGGGTGGGGCCAGGTGTAGGCTGGGGCTCCTGCCTTATACTTATCACTAGACTCTGAGAATAGCCAATTCTATTCTGGACCATAAAGTTTCTGGACAGTCCAGCTGTCCTCTGTGAAACGTATACAGCACTGTCTCCCTTTCCTGCCTTTTGTGCTCCAGCTGGTGCATCCAGGAGCATCTTGTGTAGACAACACCTAGTTCTTCCCACTCTCCTCCTTCTGAAGCCTATTCTCTTCACAGGAATACACAGGGCCTCTATGACCTCTGCCCCGCCCACATCTATGTGTCGGCATGGCAGCCACAGCTGCTCCTGCCCTGAATAGCCCACATTTTCCCTCTAACCTATGCCTTCCTCAGGTTCCCACCAAATGCGAGCCTGCTGCTCTACCTGGTGAGCTCCCAAGACTATTTAAAAATACTTCCCTAAGCTGGGCTGGTAGTGGATGACTGTCACCCTAGCACTCGGGTGCTGAGCAAGGCTAGCCAGGGGTGCACACTGAGACCCTGTCTTAAAAGGAGAAAAACGAACAAACACTTCATGCAGTTAATATGCCATTTGTAAGTAGCTCATCCTCAATGAATCTGAGCAGCAACTATTGCTCAAACAACAAGAAGACACTGAAAAGCTTCTTGATATTAAGTAACAGGATGAAAATTTTGGAAAATAGGCTAAATGGATAATTCTGGTTGCTAACACAGTCGAACACACATTGAGACTGAAATGCAATAGGAACAAAGCAGCCATCAGTCAGCATTTCCTGAGGGGAAGCTGGTCCCTAACCCCCTGGCTGGGGACAGGGCTGTTTGGCTTTGTGCCCAGGGGCTTGGAGGTAAAGATGCTGCTGCTGGTCTCTTCCCTTTCATCTCCTCTCCATGAGCTTTGCTCCCCACTTGTGCCAACCACTAAGTCAGTTCACACACTGTTCTTCATAGACAGAGACAATGGGAACCACATGGCCGTGATGCCTGTTGCCCTCACCCTTGTTGACCTATATCCCCAGCCTGCATGATGACTTGCTACCATTTAAAACCAGACTTGTGACCAATCTTGAGACTTTCATGAAAAACCCCACCATGTGACCCAAGTGGATCTAGAAATCAACCCTCTGGGGAGGGGCAGCTGCTCAAATTCTGCCATCTAGATAGATGGCATCAGGGTAACATCCTTCATGCCTGAGCAGTGATACTTTATAAACCCTCCAGTGCACTATGGGCATTGGTGTCACAGGGCTGACACTGTGTGTGGCTTGTTCACAATTTCATTATGAGGAGCAGCCTAGGGCACTGGGGCACAAGTACAGGATAGGCCACTCTTAGAATTTCCAGACATCATTGGCAGAGCCATCTGGTAGGGCCACCTCCTGCTAGTCCTGTGCCATGAGTTCTTGCTTGCAGAATACATTGAGTTGGGGGTCACTCAATGCTTTTTGATTGCAAACATCCAAAGGACTAGCCTGAGTTGCAGAATAAACACAGAGGGCATTCCTGACATTCTCAACTCTGGTCTAAGGGCTCTGTGCTCTCAGATGTCATGAGAGCTTTGTAGAGGAACATTGTTCACACAGGTCAGACTCAGGCCCCCATGTCTTTCCTATGTCATACTAGGACCTCCCCAACAGGGTTATGGGGATTTTTTTTTTTTTGCCAGTTGGCCATTCTGTTAAATGGTACCCAGGGCCTTATCACTGACCAGGGACTCTCTTCTCTCAGAGAAGCTGGGAGTCAGAGACCAGGGGTCTCAACTTGACTAGTTGAACCCAGGTTTAGCTTCGCTCTTTGGTGCTCAGTTTCTCTGCCTCACTTTTCAGAGCTTTTGTTCTTGGTCAGGGATCCTTAGTCCTTTTTCTGAACTTAGGCTGCACCTGAATAATGAACACAAAGTTGAACCCTGGCACAGATCAGCTGGACCTCTATGCTACTAAGGGAGAGCCCTCAACTCCTGCTCTTAGGTAGCTCCTGAGCATCTTCACACATCTTGTGCCATGTAAAACAAAAAAATATTCCCACCTAGATAGGCTGGCTGGCTGGACACTTGGCCTGATAGACTGCTTGACTAGGCATATTTATGCCAGGTGCTTGCTCACTGAGACATCTTAGGCTACACACACAGGCCCTCTGGGTGGGTGGGTGGGGCTCTGCAGAACTCTCTCTGATTCAAGGGGAACTCATTCAGTCAGGGAGTGAATGACTTTGCAGAGTCTGTCATGGGGGATGGCGGGACTCAAGCTTCCAGGAAGTCAGGGTGAGGAAGACAACAGAATGGGGAGCAGAGGGCAGAAGGACAGGCCAGCAGTCTGTCTGCATACTCTTCCTGGCCACACAAGCCAGCCAGTCTTCAAGCCT